TATAATTTAAAAGTCAGTTTAGAGGTTTTCAGTGTTGCTATAGAACAGATGATGGTCAGCAATTCTTTTTTCTAGAATTGTTCTTGTGTTCAGTACTTAACAGTAACAGATTCCTAGGGCCTCACATGAGACTGACTGTGGTGTGATCTGAGCAACATCCGAAGTGTTGTTTATTATAAAATGCTTAAGAGACAGATACTATGTGATTTCAAGGTTCTGGAAGTAATGGGATTCAGAATATAACTGAGTGGAGGAAGGGAGCAGATAAATATAAAGAATGTATTTTTAACTCTCAAAGTAAGGACATTTAAAAAGCAAATATAATTGGTCACCACACATGGGTTTTGCTTCCTTTCCAGACCCTCCTGTACGTGACTCTCATATTAATTTTCTGAAAATGTGACTCTAGTCACATGTTAGTGTTCCCTCCTTCCCTGTGCCCTGAAGAGGAGGGCAGGGCCCTCTGTGCCTGGTGACACACCGTCAGTGCTCAGCAGGGACTTACTGGATGAGGAAGCACCTCATCATGGTGTCCCTGCAGCGATCCCTAGCCTCCCTTCCTGCCACCTGCCTCCCCTTCGGGTTGTGGGTCCCTGCTGCCACCCGAGGTTTCCTTGCAGTCGCACTCCTGAGTTCTCTTTCCCGGAAACGCTCTCCTCTTCGCTGACTGTAAACAGACCGTTGCACACTCTGAAGCCCAGTGTCAGTGCTCCTCTTGCAAAGCCTTTCCCCGCGCTGCCTCTCCACGCGGAGTGTGTGCTCTCTCTCCTTTCTTAATAGCACCTGCTTATTGTTGGGACGCTCTCATGGACTTCATCGACTCCCTTTCCTGAACTTTCGACTTCATCTTCCCCTCCCTCCCTCCTGTACTGCCTCGCATGGCCTAGCGTACCTTTTTCAGATTGACGTAACCTTACAATGTTACGGAGAGAAGTGAGATACTTACAAGAAAACTGAGGCTGACTTTGAATGGAGTTGTAGTTAAACCCCAGGAAGAGGAATTCCTGTGATACTCTGGTGCCTTCTGGGAGTTTCATGGCAACTCTTGTGATCCAAGTATTACTTATATTAAGGCGAGCAGGTCTGTTCAAGGTAAACATCAGGAAATTTCTCCACAAAAGGCAGTGTTTTCAGTATGATGATGCTCTGAAACTGCTTGCACCCTGTTAGAGGTAAAATCAAAGCAATTTGGGCCATTTTCCTTAATCTTTTTAATACCATAGATTTCTTTCTTAAGTCTGTTTTTGGTTGTGGTTAAGATAGAAAGTCACAGGACTCTCTCCCTCATCCCATTTTTAGTTCAGGTTGAGCATCCCAATCTGAAGTCTGAAATGCTCCAACATCGTGATACAGTCACGATGTAAAATGTTCCCCAAGTTTCCCTCTTGTTGCCTTTTTACAGCCACATCTACTTCCCTCCTGCCTACACCCCTTTCTTGACCCCAGCAACCACTAATGTGTTCTCAATTTCTATAGTTTTGCTCTTTCAAGAATGTTATGTATACAACTGGCAGAGCTCTTTTGTATAATAAATAAATAAAAATTTACATAAGTGGAATCATACAGTATATAACCGTTTAGGCTCTTTTGCTCAGCATAATTCTCCAGAGAGTCATCCGAGTCTTTGCATATATCAATAGTTCATTCCTCGATGTTGTGTGTGGAAATTAAAAAAACAAAAAAAGCCTAGGTGTGGTGGCTCATGCCTGTAACCCCAGTACTTCGGGAGACTGAGGTGAGAGGATCGCTTGAGGCTAGGAGTTTGAGGCTGCAGTGAGCTATGATTACACCACAACGCTCCAGCCTGGGCAAGAGCGCAAGACCTTGAGTGCAAGAGCAAGACCTTGTCTCTCAAAAAAAAGTTCATTCCTTTTTTTTTTTTTTTTTTTGCTGAGTAGTATTCCATGGTATGGATGTTCCACAGTTTGGTTAGTCGTTTAATTTACTCATTGAAGGCCATTTCTGAGTTGTTTCCAGTTTATAGCCATTATGAGTAAAGCTGCTATGAATGTTTGTGTACAGGTTTTTATGAGAACGTAAGTATTCTTTCTCTGGGATAAATGCCCAGAAGTGCAGTTGCTGGGCTGTATGGTCGTTGCAGGTTCAGGTTTTGAGAAACTACCTACCTGTTTTCCAGGGTGGTTGTACCATTTTACATTCTCATCAGCTGTGTCTGTGTGATTCTGTTTCTCCATGTCCTTACTAACATTTGGCGTTGTCCCTATTTTTTGTATTAGCCATTCTGATAAGTGTATAGTGATACCCCTTTGTGATTTTAATTTACATTTCCCTAATAAGTCATTTCTCTAATGCAGTGGGCCCCAACCTTTTTGGCACCAGGGACCAGGTTCATGGAAGACAGTTTTTCCACAGGGGCGGCAGGTGGGGGTGATGCCAGCAGTGGGAGTGATGGGGGGCAGGGTGGGAGCACAGCAGCTTAAATACAGATGAATTTCCCTCCCTCGCCTGCCGCTCACCTCCTGCTGTGCGGCTGGCTCCTAAGTTTCATGGAAGACAATTTTTCCTTGGGGGGTTGCGGTTTGGGGGTGGGTGGTGGCTCAGGTGGTGATGCTCGGCCCAGGGGGTTGGGGACCGCAGCTCTAAGGAACATCTTTCACGTGCTTATTTGCCATCTCTATGTTCTCTTTGGTGAAATGTCTGTTCCTGTTGTTTCTAATTGGATTTTTCTAACTGTTCAGTTTTCTTGTTTTTTAATTATGGTAAAAACACATAAAATTTACCATCTTAACCATTTTTAAGTTCAGTAGTCTGTCAGAAGACAAAATTACAACAAATTTGAAGTTCTTAATTGGCTTTTATTTGTGATTCTAGAATCAGGCAACACCTCATTCTATAAAATAGAATTTATATGCCAGTGAGCCGCTGATGAGGTTGGCTTTGTAGGCAGAAAAGGCTGACGAAAGCAGGAACAGAGAACAAAAAGCAGATTGGTTGTTTCAAAGTTAGTTTCCTTGTAAAGGTTAGAGCAGATGAATGATCACACCAGCTAAAACTGGCCTGTTTGGGGGTTTGGCTAGTCTCTCTCTCTCCCTCTTGATTTCTTGAAAGGTCAGATAAACAACTCAATTTTGGGTTGGTGATGGGGAAGGTCAGCAAGAGTGACTCCATTTTTATTTGGTCTGTTGGGCCTAGTACAGGAACTCAGTGCAAACCAATGGCCTCCTATAAATTTTATCTAACAATTGTTAGCTATATTTACACTCATGTACAACTAACTGTTGAGTTTTGAGGGTTTTTTTTTTTTTCCCTGTTTGGTAGAGACAGAGTCTCGCTATGTTGCTCAGGCTGCTCTCGAACTCGATCCTCCCGCCTCGGCCTCCCATAGTGTTGGTATTATCAGCATGAGTCACTATGCCCAGCCAGGAGTTTTTTATGTGTTCTAGGTACTAGTCCTTTGTCAGATAGACATGTGGCTTGTGAATATTTTTTCTCAGTTTGTAGCTTGCCTGTTTTTTTATCCTCTTAATAGGATAGGGTTCTATA